GGTTGGGGAGGGGGGGGGGGGGGGAAGCAGTGAGGGAGGTGACAGCTCAACTCAGTATGACTGGGCCTTCAGTTTCCATGGACAGTAAGACTGGAGAAAGAACTGAACCACCCCCAACCGATTTCCCCCATGACACTAGATAACTGCTATTTCAAGGAGATGCATTTTGTAATATCTTCTGATGTTCTTTGAGATGTGACACCGATCTTTTGTACATTTGGTTTTCAATAGAAATAGGAGTGCCAATATAATAGTTTAGTACTCTCTGTATCTTTTCTCTCAGGGCTGAGCATTGGTTTGTGAATACAGGAGGTAAACTGATGGTTTAATCCAGATAAAAACAGTAGGGTAAATTTGGGACGAAGTCTCACCATTTTTTTTTATCCCAATGGAATGTTGCATAGAAAGGTTCAAACTATGAGCACCTGAAATTCATTTTCCAGTTAAAGTGAGAGACTAGAAAGATTATTTTCAGAGTAAGATGGTGGAAGGAGCATTCTCCAGTGGAAAGAGAAAAGTCTAGGAGCCTTAAAGAACTGTTTTTAACCCAAGGCAACATTGTGTTTTTTGATTGGTGATGGTCACCTTCCAAGAAAGTTCAGTGTTGTGGTATGATGGAAGTTCTGAAATTGTTATGAAGTGGACTTCCGTGATGATGCTGCCCTTATAGCCCACAACAAAGACCTGCTACAAGAACTTATGGATCGCCTCTCAAGAGCTTGCCAGGCATTTGCTTTCACCATCAGCATAAAGAAAACACTTGTACTAGGACAGGGAGTTCCACAAGATCCATTAATCATCCTTAATGAGAATCAGCTAGCAGCAGTCCAAAAGTTCAGCTATCTAGGTTCTACAGTGACTACCAACCTCTCACTGAATGAAGAACTTATGTTCCCATTGGAAAGGTTACCACCACCTTCAGCAGACTAACTAAAAGAGTATGAAACAGCTCAAAGCTTACCATCAAAACCAAAATGCTAGTGTAAAAGGCTTGTGTACTCAGCACTTTCTTGTATGGTAGGGAAACATGGACAGCTTATGCACATCAAGAGAAAAGGTTAAATAGCTTCCACTTGCGTTGTTTATGCCTCATGCTCAACATCAAATGGCAAGACAAAGTTACCAATGCAGAGGTTCTTCAATGGGCAAATTTACCAAGTGTGACAGCCATACTCAAACACAAGATGACTGAGCTGGCAAAGTCATCTAAGCAGATTGGAAGGTGGATCCATACCCAAGGACATGCTAAATGGGGAACTATTGGGGGAACAAGAACAACAGGATGTCCCAAGCTTCACTACAAAGACACATGCAAGTGAAATATGAAGGCATTTGGAATTGATCCTGACCAATGGCAAACCTTGGCAACTGATCGTAACAAGTAGCATTATCATCTCCATCAGGGCATCAATTCCATGTCAGAAATTGGCTCCAACAACTTGAAAAGAAAAAGAGCCCGTAGGAAGCAAGCAGCTCCCAAGTCACCCAACCATGACACATACATTTGTAACCACTGCCACAGATCAAGCAAATCTTGGACTGGACTATTCAGTCACATGGGACATTGCAAACCATCTACATCATAGCCATCTCCCATAGCTGAAAGGATGTCAAAGAGATCAAAGGACTTAGATACAACAGAGAGCGTTGCTATATCCCCACCCTTGCCTGAAATGCAGCCTCTAGTCTATTATAAGGCTTGGGTTGGGTCTATGCCATCATGGATTGGTAATATGAATAAGTATTCTCTTCCAGTTGCAAGAATACATCCCCTCTTACTCCATAACAGGAGTTCTGGACTTTCAGTGAAGAGTCTCTGTCCATGGTGCTCAGACAACAAACAGCCACACTGCCAAGTGTAGTGATTTTGGTTCTGGATGGAATCCCTAGCCATGAGAATGCCAGATCAGCCCCAGGCAGTTTGGGAGTGAAAGTGGTCTTGAGCCTGAAGTGATGAAATGAGAGAAGCAAGTCATTCACTATCCTGAATTTTGAAGGAGTATATATTTAGTTTTCTCGGGTCTTAGGATAAAGATTTTTTCTTCTTCAGGATAAGGAAATACTGTGAATAGAAGCCTCTTCCTGTGTATTGCTGCAGAAATTCTTCTACAGATCATAGACAAAGAAAAGAGGCAACTTCTTTTCATACCTTCTTCACAGTAAGAGTGTCCAGACTGGAATAAGCTCCCTCCAGAGGTGGTGCAATCACCTACTCTGGAAATCTTCAAAAGGAGACTAGACAGTCACCTTACTGGGGTCACCTGAACCCCAGCTGTCTTTCCTGCTTGGTGCAGGGGGCTGGACCCAATGATCTTCCAAGGTTAATTCTGGCCTTACAATCTATGAATCCACCTCTACCATTACTTTGTTCTTGAAGTGCAGGTATAAGCTCACAAGTGCTTTACACAAAAAATAGGTGACCCTGTTTCCCCTTCAAGTTTATATGAATAACAGACAGTTATGAGAAGGGCCTCTGAATTGGAATGGGAAAGGATGTGTGACAGGTCAAAAAAAGTAGAAGAGAGCCTCAGATGACTATATCCAGCTTCAACTGTTCTGAGGTAATAACCAAACCAAACCTGACAGAATGAAACAAGGTATCTGCCAAAGGCATTGGTTCGTTCTCAGTTAGGCTTTAGTATGAGTCCCAACATTACCATGACATTTACTGTCTTGCTGATGGGATGATGCATCATGGAAAGACTCTGTAATTTTCACTGTTTGTAGTCTGATTATCAGCTCTGGAAATCAGGATACAACCATCCGCTTCTGTTGAGGTGTTATAAGAATTCTATAGAGGAATTGTGTATAAATTCCTTGGGACCTTAGGGTAACCTGAGTCTTTTAGGGAGTTGAACAAAAACTTATGTCCTCAGTCTTTGAAAGGATATCTTGGAAGTTTTCTTGCATCTCCCTTAGCATCCCAAGGCTGATTTTCCAAGAGGCTCATCTCAATTTAGAGCTACAGCCATATATCCACAGCCTCCAGAGCTGTCCTGGAAAACATCTGGACCTCCTGTGTAATTTCCTTCAGCTATTCCTTAGCATCTAGAGGCAGCTTGGATAAAGGGGAGGCTGGGTCTGCTTTGTAAGGAAATTATATTTGGCAAATACTGTCTGATAATTTGCAACAAATATCCAACAGATATCCAGCTTTCTGAGCTCCTTTTGTCCTTTGGTTAATTTTATATTCCCTTGACTTAGATATTTCTTGTACTACTAAGGGTCATTACCTATGGTTTGGCTGGAAATAAAAGTGCCTAAAGCTTTTCATAAAGATACTTGGTATTGTTTCTGCACCTTTTTTGAAAGTTAGCTGAACAGTGGGTAGGGTTTGCCCCAAGGGTTTTGGTTGGTTCCAAGATGACTTCATATACTGGGCAAAGGGAGGGAGGATCCTGGTAAAGGAAGCATATTAAGAGTTTGAGTTTTCCTGACTAGTCTTATCTCCAGGATCTGCACAATACATGGAAGAGATTCTAGAAAGTCCTGAAATAGTTGATGGTTAAAACACAGGATGGCTGGATAGCCACATCCACTAGGAAGTAAGATTCTTTTAGAGATGCTGATTTGTAACAAGCACCTAAGGTTCTGTGTAAAAAAAGATGTAAAAAATTCCTCATCACAATTTTTCTGGTTATGGTGGGATGGGAATGGTTACAGGACATATGGAATGACAGTCCATAAGTAATGTAATTAATAGGCTGGTGACCTACTGAGAAATGGGCATTAGGCCAGACATAAGGAAAAATACAGGGAAGAAAACTAAGGAAAGACAAGGAAGCAAGCAGAGAAAGCAGGAGAACAAAAGAGAAAAAAAGAGTGGTAAAATATAATGGGAAGAACATGATGGTAAATTCAAAGAGAGAGCAAGTGGAAAGGACTCAAAATAGGAGGGAAAAAGTAGGAAATTATACACAAATTGAAAACATGTTTTGCCTATTCATCTTCTTACCTGCCTTGTATTTGTCTGGCAGGAAGATAGGTTGAATTCCTTGACCATCATTGAGTCCAGGATGTTTAGTATGGGATTATTTTCCAGCTGACCATCTTTTTAGGATAGTTGGGGGGTGGAGAGAGGGAGAAGGTAAAAGGAGGGACTGGCTAGGTGATGAAAGTTGTATTTTGAGTGACTATAGCCCAAAAATAAAAGGAAGAGTTATTTTTTTTCTATTCTCTGGCCCCAACCTATTTTATTACTGACCAATCCTGTATAGCATTTGTAAAATGTGGGCTCATTTTGTTAATATGAAAATATATACAGTGTTTAACAAAATAGTTAATTAATCTTATATTGAGACTTGCCTTTGCTTTAAACAGGAGGAAAATGAAAATACGCATAATATTACCACCTACACAGTAATAAGTAAAAATTTTGCTGAAGGCAATGTCTAGTGAGATCAAAGCCTTGATTGATTTCCTTTACAGAGCAATCTGACAGACAACCTTGTACTCCAAGTGAAGAAACTCCTGTATAAGATGTCACACTTCCCTGATTTATTCCTGAATAAATCAATAGTGGGTTTTTTTTGGTTTTTTTGCAGTCAGAGCCATTCACCTTGTTCTGTGGAGGAATATGTGACTTCATTTGATACTTTTTAAAACAAATTAACCAATGGCATAGAGACTTCTGCAATCCTCTTATGTTCCTTCATAGTGAAATTTACATTAAAATTTACCATGTAATCACTTTTCAGCAGCATTGGATTGCCCTGGGTTCTATAAACAGCTATGTTTTAGCATATAAAAGAAAATGTGTACATACTCTTTGAGATACTGTTCCAAATGCTGTGCTCGGAGAAGTGCTTCATCTCTCTCTTCATTGGCTAACCTAAGCCTTGCCATGACAGCCTCATCGCGTTCCCGTTGAGCAGAATAAACTTCTTCTACCAGAGCTGCAAAAATAACCAGTATGTTTAACAAACAAGCTTGATGGAGAAATGCAGATTCACAGCTTTTGAAGTATCTCCACATGGGGCCTTATCCAACATTTACTGAAGTCAGCTGTTTTCCCACTAGCCTCAGTGTGCTTGCAAGTTCCTTTATGCTCTATGTCAGTCATTCTTAACCAGGGTTTTGTGGCACCCTGGCTTGCCATAAGATCCTTTTAAAGGTGCTGTGCAATATCAGCACCGATAGGTATGCGAACACCTACCTGTAATTCATAAGATAAATCCAGAGAGTTCCATACTATATAAAACATTCTGAACCATTACAGTTCTTTGCAACAGAAGCATTGCTCTCTTATTTTTCCATAGTCAAAAAAACAAGAGAAAGCTAAGAGCTGGCATTTTCTGAGGGGTGACTTGACTTTAATGGAGAGGTGCCTTGAGATTAAAAAAAAAAACATTAAAAACTACTGCTCTAGATCAGTTGTCCTCTATCTTCTGTCCCTACAGGCCAAATGAGTTGTGCTGGGCCAGTCCACAGGCCAGATCAAGCCCTGAGCCCCAAGAACAGGTCCTAGGGGCCTGGCACCACCCCTCCCAGGCCCCTATACTAGAGTCAGAGGGCCCAGTGCTGCCCCTATGTGCCTGGAACTAGGCCTAGAGACCAGGTGCCATCCTGCACTGGGATCAGGTACTCGATCCAGCACATAGGGCCTAGGGCTCCCCATGGGTCTGTAGATTTGCTTCCTGTGCCAAATTTCTGGACCCATGGGCACCCCTGCTCTAGATAAAATGCTCCTAATCTAAGCCCATCAGCACAATATTGTGTTTCACCCTTCTGAAAATGTTACCCAAGTGGCATTAATAATTAGCATGAGTATCTGAAGAATCAGAAAGGGTGCAGGGTTCACCCTCATACTAATCATTCAAGACAAGATAATTGAAATGATCACTTCTAAAGCAGTGACTCAGAAGGGAAGGGAAAGTTCTGAAGCTCACATTTGTATTGGATACCAGCACACCACACAAATTTAAGAGAAACTATCCACTCAAGTTGCTTTTAACACCATATAAACTAAATTGCTTGAAGTAGTGAACATAAATACTTAGAAATGAAATAGTTGGTCAGACCACAGGACCATCTAGCCCAGTAACCTCATTTTCTCTTAGATAGATACAAACTCTAACTTGCTTAGGTATTTGCATAGTGCTTCTTTCTTTGGTATTCAGAGGATGATAAGGTTAGCATTCCTTCCTTTCTTTCAAGTCTTCCCTTTATTATTTAATATATTGTTATATTATCTGTTAGAGCATGCATGGGCTGTGAAGCATTAGGTGCCAATAAACTAAGATTTGCTATCTATCCTTAGGAGTAAACTAAACACCTTCAAGTCATTCTTCACCCTGTGCTTTCTTTTGCTTCTTGCATTTCAGTTTTCAACCACCTCAGGAACATTGCCAAGATCCCTACTGTGACTCTGTTTTCATGAAAAATCTTATTCATACTTTCATCATTTTCCTTTCTAATATCACAAATCTGTCTTTACAGTAGTCTTAAATCTCTGCTCTCTAAACTTCATGGGACTCAGGACATTGCAACAAAACTACCTGCATTGCAAGAAGAGGTACTGTGACCTCTATCACTGTCACTGCCTTCCTATCCATCTCCAAATTCATTTAAAAATTAGGTTTCTAAAGGTGTTTAAACACCTTTAGAAACCTTTTATACACCTATATACACATGTGGCAGTGGGAGGGCATTTTAATTAGAGCTGCTCTAAGTAAAGTGTCCAGGTCACCACATGTATCATCATCCCCATGCTGAACAATGGCAGCAGGGGCACTTTAAGTAATGCACACTGAAGGAGTTTTAGTTAAAATGCCCCTGCCACCATTTTTGAGCACAGCAATGCTGATACATGTGATGCTGGAATCTGCTGGAGCACAGTAATTACTTGGGTCTACTTGGATGCATTATAATTATAGTGTGTTGACACAGCCTCAATGCATGTGTATAGGCACCCTAAGGTTTCAAAATTTCCAAAGATTCTTTTAAACCTGATAAATCATGCAGTCCCCTAATGTCCAAGGTTCGACTCTTCCAAATCCTGGAATTATTTTTAGTCTTGTTAAGACTACTTCACCTGCACTTTGACACCTATCTGTGGAGGTGATCTGAGCAGGGTGCAGGGCCTGAGGTGAATCAGCCCATGCTGGGCCCCACCCCTGCTCTGATCCCACAGGCCCTGGACCCAAAGAAGCAGCAGGGAAGGGAGGGGGGTAATGAGTGGCTGCACGTGGAGCCGCCACTCCACCCAGCTCCATGCTGCCACTGCTCTGCCTGGCTCTGCAGGGCCTCCCAAAGCACAGAGCCCAGGGCAGTTGCCCTGATTCAGCCCCCTCTTAGGGATGGCCCTGCCTATCTGAACTCTCTCCCTATCTGAGCCACTGGTGAGTTATTTCCTTCAAGTTTCACCTTAAATCCTTCCTGTTCACTTTTGCTTAGAGCCAATTCTAAACCTTATTCATGTTGTTCTCACCTCCGCTTAACTATTCAACAGTTTTTCTGCTTTCATCTTGGCTTTCTCCTCTCCTATTTCACCTTTGTACATTCTTGCTTCATCTCTACTGAAGCAGTTCTATACAATGTAATAAAAGCACCATAGTAATGGCACTAAATAAAAATGGTAATTACATGATGTAATAAATTTTGCTGCCAAGTTACCTTTGTTGCAAACCATATTTTAAATATACTCGCAGAAAACATTTAATATGCAAATAGAAGTGAGTGTCATAGCAGCCCAACTTACCATAACATACTTGCCCAGGACCAAATTCTGCTGAGAAAAGACATACTGCGTGATGAAATCACATGCTTCCTACAATTCAGTCTTAATGACACAGCACAGGGGCGGGCAATTATTTTGGGCAGAGGACCGCTTACCTAGTTTAGGCAGGCTGTCGACGGCTTATGGGTAGCCCCGCCCCCTGGTCACCATCTTGGGACCAATGTGTCAGGGCCAGCACGTCCCAAAGAGGGGCACAGGGTGGCAGGGGTCTGTGAAGCAGGGCTGGGCTGCACCAGCAGAGAGAGGAGGGAGCTGTCCTGGCTCCACAGAGCCCCTGCTGACCGGGACCCCTGTACTCCTGCCACCCTGCTCTGGGCCCTGCTGGCTCTGGCCCCAGGACACTGGTGCAGGCTCCATGCTCCCGCTGGCTCCCTGCCCACTCACTCCCAGTGCCCCCCAGCCCTGTGGTACAGGCGGGGGGCAGTGTGCAGCCCTGATCCCCTGCTCGCCGGCAGGGAAGAAGCTGGTGCTGAGCATAGGGAAAAGCAGCCCCTCACCCACCCTATGGCACTTGTAGTCCATGTGGGGCTGTCTGGAGCAGGCACAGGCAGCCCCAAGTGGGCTGCAAGCGGCTACAGCACAGGGTGTAAGCCACAGGGTAAGCGAGGGGCTGCTTTTCCCTGCGCTCAGCATCAGCTTGTAACCCAGCCCTGCTGCCAGCTTGGGCTCCATGCCAGCTTCAGGATCACCCATTGGCTGCAGCAGCTGTGGCCCTCCTGCTTGCCGCGCCAGGCAGTGTTGGCTGCTGCTGGCCACCTGGAGCTCACGCGCTGGGCAGCCCAGAGGCGACAGTGGCAAACACTGCCCAGCGCAGCAAGTGGGGGGGGCCGCAGCTGCTGTTGCCATGTGCAGCCCCAATGGGTGAGCCCAGCCCGCACGGGGCCCAGGTTGGCAGCAGGACCAGATTACCAGGTGGTGCTGAGTGCAGGGCAGGGAAAGTGGCCCCTCGCCTGCCCTGTGCCTAGCACCCCACGCTGCAGCCACTCACAGCCTGCCTGCAGTTGTCTGGAGCAGGCACAGGCAGTCCCATGTGGGCTGCGAGCACCTGCAGCGTGGGGCACCAGCCATGGGGTGGGGGAGGGGCTTCTTTTCCCCGCACCGGAAGGAGCCTGGGGAAAAGCTGAGCACAAGGGGGAACACAGGGGTGGGGGGAAGCAGCCCATCACTCAGCTTTTCCTCGGGACACTTTTCCCCAGGCTCCTTCCCTGCCCAGGTTCCCCCCCTTACCTGAGGTTCCGGTGCAGGGCAGCCATGTGGTCCCAAGCCAGAAGCCCCCACTGGGGTTCTGGCTGGGGGGGGGGTGGAGCTGGGCAGGTCCTCCTGTTGTGGGAGCCTGCCGGGCTTCCCCTGGGTCCTATTGTCCTTAGTTCCTGTCTTTTTTGACAGGAACCAAGGGCAGATAAATATTAATTTTCTAAATTTTTAGGGGCCCTGCAGGCCAGATAGAATCATCTTGCAGGCCAGATCCTGCCCGTGAGCCATATTTTGCCCACCCTTGACATAGCAGTGCAGTGAATGGGGTCATTTGAAGGATTAGCAAAAAGAATATCAAATATTTGGGCAATAATGTGGTCTATGCAATGAATACTCTTTAGCCTACAGATTCCCTGAGCCCTTTCCCAAGCAAAGTAGCTCAGGGGCATAGAACACGAGAAGAAAATATAGAGGAATGAATCCTAATAGATCTCTAGAATTTCACTCAGGATGTGAAATCCTCCCTATGCTTTTAGACTATAAACAAGCAACACTATTAAGAAGCAAACTAAAGGGGTGGGGGAGACTGACATAACTTTTGCAATTCTGGGATAGTGGAAGAGGAGAATAATCTGACTGTCTGAATGAAGAAGGACTGGAGACAGATACACAAGTTAGTTCTAGGGGTATGCTCTCTCTTTAAAAAGGAAGTCAGGTCCACCATGCCAACACGGTCATGGAAGAGATGTATCAAATTGCATCACTGACAGGAAAACAAGTGTCATGAATACTCTCACAAAACTGTCCAACCGCACATATATTTTGAGCTTCTAAATTCCAATTTAAATATCTTAAAATATTTTGAATATCCTTTAATGTTTCGAGCAAGAGGAGTTTTCTGCTGCAGAGAGGACCATTTCTCTCATTCTTAGACTGGAACCCAAGTTATAGTTAACTGAGTAT